CTATTACTATAAGAAAAACTTGATACTGGGAATCTGACTAGTGACAATCAACCTTAGGTTGATCAACCTCAACTATTGTAGGTTTAACCCTCAGGACGGGACGTTTTGGGTGCATGGTTTAAAAATCCCAATTGGGGTCCGCCTCAAAGAGTAAGTGAACGAAACATGGCTTCTTAAGGCAGTTTCTGGAGGCATACGCTTCAGCCAAGTAAGGTAAATACCTCACAGCACCACCTCAAGGCTTGTGAGGCATGCACTATTTCATTTTCCAGACTCATTTACTTTGCTTTAGGTGTGGGACCATGAAACAATAAAAATTCTAATCGATCCACTTTGGGAATAGCCCACCGCCTTAGTAAAATATTAAAAATCTTGTTTCTCAAAAACATTTTGGGAATTGTTCAGTGCCACACCAACTAAAGTAGTAGTTTCTTTTTATTACTTCATAGATTTTCCTTTTGTTTGTTTGTGCATTTTAAGTTGTTCTATATGAATTTTGAAGATCGTTTCTGATTTATTATGTGCGTAGTGTGCATTTTAATACTTTTTTTTTCGACATTTTTATGGTTTACAATGAGGCTTAAACCTCAAGACGCCTTGCATCAATAAATAAAAATGCCTAGGTACCCGAGTACAACTTTTTAAACATTGCTTTTTGGTAGACCATACAACCGAACAACAAAATACATTTAAATGGTAGGAACAACTACATACCTCACCAGGAATGCTGTTTTGAACAGTATCAAGTATTGTTCCAACATTCCTAGCCAAATCAGCAGATAAGTGAACAAGTCTCTGTTGATGTTTTTCTTTTGCAGTCTTCAGAACCCATAGTGGCTGTTTCACAACAAATATATTGAGACAGTATGAAGAAAAAATGCATCAGGAGCACAATATTTTACATACTATCATAAAGGCATGGAAAAATACAAGACGCTATTGGCATGATTGGTAGGAGAATTGGACAGTACCAGAGAGATTAACCCAAAAAATAGAATTTAAACTTTTGTTTACATACTGTCCTGTCCTGCCTACAGCTTTTGAACGTGGACTGACATGGAGTTGACAAAAATAAAATTTCACTCAGATTTATGAACTATATCAACTCCAAAGAATATGCAATACATTTGGCAGTCATTTATAAATGTGAAAAATGCAAGGAAGCACTTACTGTAACAATGTTACTGGAGTGCCCCAGATATTTTTGAATTGAACATCCTTCGCATACTACATAACTAGCACAGCAGCCAACAAACCATTGATCCACCAAAGTAGCACCTTGTGTAGAGACGGCCTCAGCAACCTAAGAAATTGTTTCCACGTCGAATAGCATCAATTATTCAAAGCACCTTGGACAACTTTAATTCATTTAAATTCAGAAAGTACAAGCTTCATAACAACATAAGCATGTAAGACTTGCATGGCACATGTTTACCTAAGATTAATTCATTAAAAATTTCCTTTCAAGTAAATTTTTGTTTTTAAACATGTTTGGATAGGTTAATTTACTTATTTATAAGTAAAAAATTACCTATTTTGACAGTAGCCAAGAGATTACTATTTTCCAAATTTGACCAACAAACATACTATCTATTTTAAGACTTCTTAGTAAAGTTCTTAAGCTTAGCCAAACATGCACTTTATATCGTTGAAGCAAGCGGAACAAAACTTCAGCACCTGGGAAACTTCACGTCCATGAACCTACCTTATTGTGTAGCTCGGCAGATATGTCTGGGTCAACATAAAAGGATTGGCCAGCTATGGGCAAAGAAACTATCATTTTAGGCTCTCCTTCCGAAAAGTGTGATTGCGATCCTCCAGTCATGTCAAGTTGCTTAGCATACTCAAGCGTTGCAGTGGGAAGACAAGAATTCTCAATACTAGCATTCTGAACATTCCGGTTCAAGCCATTCACTTTTCCAACACTAATGCTATAAAGGGATTCACTCAACCTTACTGAAATGAATGAAGAAAACAACCTCAGTTACTCAAATGAATAATACATTTTTAACTTTTTTGTTCGAAAATTATTATAATTCAGAAATAAGTTCAGAACAGAACTATGCCAGAAGATTTCATTCTATGAACTTCTTTCACGATCTCGTAGAATCATGAAAGCTAAGCCATAGACATTGACTTAGCAATAGCATTAAAAACAAAATCAATGTTTCGATTTTCTCGAATTAAGAAATGAATAATGACTACAACAGGATTAAGGGCAACAAATGCTAGAGGACTCTATACTAAGTATTAAGATTGAAACATATATGATGCACAAAACTAATACAAGGAAATGAAAACTACATACCAGAAGCTCAATTTCTAATCCCTAAAGACAACCCAAAAAAAAAAGATTGAGATACAAAATTTTTACCTTTCCTTCTGACGCTATCCACAAACCAGCCAATCGTAACCAATAACAGACCATTTGTTGGTCCATGTCTCAAAGCATGCTTGAATTTGTGTCCATGAAAACTGTAAAAGGTGTTAAGTGGTAACACAAGTGTATTGGGTGTAGGAAACAATCTAACATCAGCAACATAACTGAGTGATAATCATCAAATGAACATATTAGACAGAGAAGCCAGTTTCCAAATTCATGCACTTATCCCACGTAAAAACAAATGTTTTCTCTTCTTGTGTTGTCATCAACGATATTGAAGGCCATGACAAATTTAACCAAATTGAAAATGATTACATCTTTCATAATTTTATCATATATCCTAATATTATTCGTGCCACTTTACAGAGCCAATAGAATCATTCTTTAGTTTAGAACGTTAAAAATTGAAAAATAAGGCATCATACATGGCAATCCTAAATAAGGAAACAAAATTGCATAAGATTAAGGATATCTGAACCACCAAATGGGTGCAATGAGGATGTAGGTGAGGGCTATATTGACCTCCCAATCTTTCTGTTGCTTCCTTCACTTGTTTCCTAGCTTCTGTAAACCACATCATGAATGCCAAATATACAATAATCATTGCAGAAATTACATCGATAAAATTAAAACATTTTGCACTAACTTCCTTTATGACCAAGACTGGGTTCTGTCCATAGAACTGGGAAGCAACGAATACAGAAAAATATATTTAGTTCATTCTTTTTCAATTATTAAGGGAAGCATAAAATATTTACTACAAGAAAATGATATTTGTAGCATTAAACAACACTCAACTCACTAATACTATTTCCTCTTAACATTTTTTTAGTACTTTTCATTAACCAGCTTTCATTTTGAATACAGCGCCTTAAAACACCTTCTGTCCAGTCTTGAAGACAAAAAACTTCCATTTCGAGAATTATGTTTAGTGTCTCTCCAATGAACACGATGTCCATGTTTTACAAGAACTTCCTGCCTCTTATACTTAGCTAGATGACCTCTGTGGCATCTGAAGCATAATTTGAATAAATAAGTTTATCCCTCTTTAATGAGGTGTTCGATAGTAGAGGATAAGGGCTATTAGTCCAACCAATGGATGAAGCCTCGTACCTAACCTCCGAGCTTTTGGAGGTGACCAAAACTTTAAGTGACCTGTTCGAAATCTTACACCAAAGTAATGTATATTTCGGGTACTAATAACCATACAAATTCCATCATTATCTTGCAAGAAATCCGGTAAACACTCCCCAAGATTTAACATTACCAAACATCAACAGAAGTACAACTATGATATCAAATCAAATTAACATAGTAATGAAAACATTGTTATAAAAAACAATGTATAATATCAATATATGCATATACATAAATATTTGTTCTTGAAAACCTTAAATGCACCAAATTCAGAAAAAAAAGTAATCATTGTTTTGAGGATGAGATTGTACCTTTGGAGAGCCCTGTGACGCAAATAACAAGGCTAGAAAATGGGAAATCAACTGTTTTCACCGGAGATTCGGGAAGTGCAGAGGCAGATGAATTAGGGGAAGTGGGCTTAAAGGAATAGGATTGAAACCCTCGGAATGAAGAAGAGAATTCAAGAAAACGTTCTGAACATCCCTTCTTGTTTATCACCTCCACTCTTCCACCCATTCTCAACTATTCATTCAATCAATCGAACAAAATTCAATATAAGCAAGTCGAATTTGTGGAATATTCAGACCGAAAGGGAACTGGGTTTAATGCAAGATGCACTGGAATGAATGGAAAGTGAATTTTAAATTTATATAAGGAATATTCTAGTATTAGAACTAAACCATAACTGTTATAAAAAGATATTATGTTTCTACTCTGAAAGAAAGGAAATTAGATCAATGGATTATAACTAGAAACTAGAAACGAAAATAAGAATTTTTTCAAGAATCTTCTTTATTTCGATGTTTCAACATTTTTTTCTTCATTCGAAAGAAGAGTAGAAGACCGAATAAAAATGAAAAATATAGAACAAAAGTTGTCTATAAGAATTTTTACAGAGACTTTTTTGTAAATTGTGCAAAGCGTTTGATTCAGCCTTTTTTTATTCCTTTTGCGTTTTTCTGGGTTTCAGAAAAATGATATCTTGAAAGTGATTTATCAACACTTACACAGCCATGGCGTTGGCCATGATTGGGAGATTTATAAGCGTTTTTGGCCGAAGTTCAAATGGTTTCTAATTTTGAAATAGTACTCTATTTTTCTCATTTTTAGTCACAATCAATCATTGAAATTTTCGAAATAGTCCTCTGTCCTTTAAATTTTGAATTTATCTATATGTAAAACGTCAATTCTCACAAGACTTTCACAAGTTCTTCATTAAAAAATTACCCAAAAAATTCCCACCCTCCATGTTAAAATTCCCAGTGTTAAGCTTTTTGGACAGGGGATTGGGACAGGGAATTGGGACAGGGGGCATGTGGCGCCCCCCTATTGGAGGGGTAGCTGACGCGCCAATAGGGGGGCGCCACATGCCCCCTGTTGCCAAACCCTGTCCCAATCCCCTGTCCCCCTAGCATCTCTCAAATTCCCAACCTCCATGTTTGTATGTATTCAGTAGGGGAACCCAACACGACTCTTAAAATTATTAATACCCTGTTTAAAAATTCATTTTTCTCATTCTTTTTATTAACCACATATTTTTCAATAAAATTATATTATATATAATTTCAATTTTTTTTTTAACCACACATCTTTAAAGCATTAATATTGCAAAGGGTAATTATATTACCATCACAAAATTTAGTTATTACACCATATTTAAAATATAATTTCAATAAATATACCACAACAAATTTACAACTATTCTCCTAATACAATAAAAGCCAAAAATGAGAAAAAAATGTGGTGTGCACATCCTCTCATTATTAATCATCCTTTTTCTCAACCATTAATCTTCCATTTTGTTAGATCAATAAGAGATCAGGACCGTTCATTACCAAAATGTCAACATACTCGCAATTAGAGCGCTCCCTAGATGGCAACCATGGAGACTATTTTTGGCGAAGGGGCAAGCTTCGAATAGAGGTATATAGAATGGTCGGTTGCTGCTCCTTTATCTCTTTCTCCTGCTATTTTTTGAAGGATGCACCTTATGCCAAACATTGGTTACAATTAAGACCAAAAAACCCACCACTATCTCCCGAATGGATTTAAGAAATTTGTTCTTCGCAATGTCTCAAAATTGGAGGTCTTAATGATGCACAACAGGTCACTATTCATTTTTCTATCTTGTTCTAAGATACTGTGGCATTTTAAAATTGTCGCTGACTGTTTAATTTGTTTAATGGTAGTACTTACTGCACGGAGATAGCACACAATGTTTCAACCAAGAAAAGGAAGGAAACTGTTGAGCGTGCAGCACAGTTGGAGGATGTTGTCACCAACAGATTGGATAGGTTGCGCAGCCAGGAGGATGAGTGATCTGTGTAGTGGCTTTAGTTCTTCAATGCAATATCATATGAAATCTTGTGTTAGCAACTATTACAAGGATGGCCAATAGATGGCCATGGCTGACGTTGAGGGGAAAGTATATTAAAATCCTAATTGTGTAATTTTACTTAAGGATATTTTAGTAAATAAAAAAATTGTGGTGTACTTAATAAATTTTGTAGTGGTTATATAATTACCCTATTACAAAATACTTTTTTTCCCCAAAATTTAATTAAAATTGAGGCCAAACAACCATTAATAGCTTTTCTTTATTAATTAAATGAGCCCCATCTTCCAATCAATGCGAGCCTTGGCGCTTCACATTTCCCATGTTTCGTTTTTGCATCTCTCATTTTCTTTCCTCTAGTCCCTTGTGTCACCTCATCTATCTGGTCGTGAATTGCATAGACTCGAAGATCAATATGGAGAATAGAATTTTCGAGAAGTTATTTAAAGGTCTCTAGAATTCCCGAACAAAGAAAAATGGTGGAAGGATAGGAGGAATCTGGTGGTTAAGATGACAACATGATATTTGTTTTAAGAAATATGGTACTTAAACAAATTTCTCCGTTCCAAGTGGTACCAAAATTTCTTATTACCATCTGCCCTTTTTGTTTTGTCTTCCAAACAATTGTTCCTTAATTATCATTTCTAGTTTTTAGTAATCAGAGAGCCAAACAGGAGCCAAGAGGGTTGCAATCACATGTATGGGTCCATCGGTCCACAGCCCGATCCTTGGTCTTGGGGCATCTGGTTTTCACATGGGAAGATTGAGGTATATATCCTAATTTAGATAAATAATTTTTTTTAATTCCTTAAGCACTCTTCATGTCAACGAAAACAAGACAAATTATGGAAAAAAAAAAATAATAATAATAATAAAAAATTGAGTGCATTCTTGATACAAATGCATGTCTAGATTAAAAAAATAATAATAAAATGCCAATGATGAATATGGTTGTTTGAGAAACTATTGACCTTTAAATTGAGCTTTCGAAAATTTCAGACCTCAAAATAAATAAATAAATAACACGCATGTTCTCAGTATTACCTATTTGCAATTCGAAACAAAATAAAATTTACACAATTTAATTTATATAAGATCTTTTTAATTTCAAAATGAAAGTGATTATTTGATGTAGTGCAAACACTAAGAGACAAAAAATAAGTAATCATAAATTATTGATTTGCACGCGAAACCATTTTGAATCAAAACTAGATAAAATGTTAACCTTATGTTATTTTTTGAATTAATCGATACTTATTCTCTAAATACTATCATTACTTCTTCTCTGCGGAAAACTCACAACTTGTGAACCTTCTACTTTCGTTAAGCTTTCGCCCCTTACAGAAATAAAAGTAAAGCCCCAAAATGTGACGAAGCCGTTGCTTCCCGTACAACATAGTCAAGGGACAATTTATAATGCATTCATAATCCCTACAACAAAAGATAAATTTGACCCTGCTAAAATAAAATGACATAATTAACAAATGAACACATAACAAATCATAAATTTAACTCTAATGAAATTCAAAGGACATAATTAAATAAATATCTTGGACTTCATTATTCTCCTCGAGTTGGAGAAGATTCGCCTCTCTTCTTTTTGTCATGCCTTCATCCATGGTTCGTAATAATAGCAAACAACTAGATACTTGATAGGTCTACAAAGAGAACTCCCCAAGCCACACACGTCAACCTCTTTTGACCCACAAACAACATATTTCCATGAAAAAGCCCCTAGCTAATAACATTATGCCAATCGAAAAAGAAATACTGCACCATATCAACTTGATAAGTAGGAATATTTTTTCTAATCCATTTGAGATTCAAGGAGCCAACTCTTGAATCAATGAAATATCTCTTTTGCAAAAGCTTCACAAGCCATCGGTGGTGGTCTTGAAGGATTGGTGAAGAGCATAATGTTGGCTCTATTATCGATCGAAAATTGAAAAATATAGGGTTAATTTCACAAATGGTCGTTGAACTTGGGCAAAAATTACAAAACGGTCACTGAAATTTAAAACTTTTAGTAACGATCACTTAAGTTTCCATGCACTTTCAAAAATGGTCACTGAAATTTAAAAACTTTCAGAAATGGTCACTGATTTTTTAAGCTACTTTTGAGGCAATTTTCCGACAACTTCCAACCACCAATGCCACTGGATTTTGATACCGTTGGAAAGTTTACAATGTCCTCTTCAATTATCATCAAAAATCTCCCCCAAACTCCAAAGGATTCGGCCGGAATAAACCCACAAAATTAGCTACTCGAAAAGGCGAAAATCTAGGCAGATTTTTCAGATTTTATGGGCTACTTTGAGGCAACTTCCGGCCACCAATGCCATCAAATTTTGATACCGTTGAAAAGCCTACAATGTCCTCTTCAATTACCATGAAAAATATCCTCCAAACTCCAAAGGATTCGGTCGGAATAAACTCACGAAGTTGGCTATCCGGAAAGGCGAAAATCTGGGCAAATTTTTCAGTTTTTTGGGCGACTTTTGCGGCAACTTTCCAACAACTTCCGACCATCAATTTTGCCGAATTTTGATACCGTTAGAAAGTCTACAATCTCCTCTTCAATTACCACCCAAAATTAGCAGGCTTGGTGGTCGGAATTCACAGGAAAATCGCCGCAAAAATCGCCAAAAATCTAAAGATTTTGCCAGATTTTCAGATTTTTGCTGCGATTTTCCGGTCGAATTCCTTTGGATTTACGGGGAAATTTTGGGTAGTAATGGAAGAGGGCATTGTGGGGCTTTTCAAAATTATCAAAATTTGGTGGTATCGGTGGTCGAAAATGATAGAAAAGTTGTCGCAAAAGTAGCCTAAAAAACTGGAAAAAAAACTTCAGTGAGCGTTTCTGAAAGTTTTTAAACTTCAGTGGCCATTTCTGAAAGTTTTTAAGTTTCAATGACCGTTTTTGCAAGTTTCTAAACTTCAGTGACCATTTTTTAAAGCGCCCCAAAACTTAAGTGACCGTTATTGAAAGTTTTAAACTTTAGTGACCGTTTTGTAATTTTCTCTATAGTTCAGTGACCGCTTGTGAAATTAACCCAAAAATATATGATAATAAATCATTGATTCGTTCATGGAGAAATTTTTTATAATATATTATATGTTTAACTAAAAAGGCTAAAACTTACCGGAGCCAAAGCGACCATCAAAACCGAGTCCCTCCCTAATTAAAATTGCATACATAATAAATGATAAATTTGACCCATACTTAAATCGAATGGCTTAATTAAATAGATAAACACCTAAAATTTATAAATTTAACTCTAATGAAGATTAAATGACATAATTAAAGAAATTATCTTCGACTCCATCATTATTAGATTGAGTCACTGTGGAAAATTATCAAGAAATTATTTTGAACATGTAAACTCGTATTATATCATTGGAAAATAGTAACTGTGAAATAATTTCAAGTTAACTCACAATACTTACTCTCAGTTTTGGATTGTGTAATATTCAATTTATCTTAGTATTTAAATTAACTATTTGATTCAACCACTCATACTATTTCTTGAATTGACTTCACCAAAATTTTAACACCAGCCAAAAAAAATAAAGAACTATGATGTCTTTAAAGATACTATGAAAATTGTTCTTTCTCTGTCTCCAAAGAGTACCAAAGCACATTGAAAAAGATGTGTTAAAAAAGTTTATAAAAGATACTACAATCACTAAGCCCTTATTTGAGCTCGATTTTTGGATAAAAATGTATTTTGGAAT